GTCGCTACTTTCACTATATTTTGATGATAATACTTTACTACTTTTACTTGAGGAACATTTTGAATGCTGGACTTTTACTGTAACAGAGTATTACAACACTCTGGTACTTCTACTTTTACTCAAGTACAACATCTGAGTACTTCTACTTTTACTCAAGTACAACATATGAGTACTTATTCCACCTCTGGTAGCGTATTAGCCTGAATTGTAGCCACAAAATCACGCAGAGCTGCATAAAAATAGACTCACAAAGGTAACTAATATTTCCAAATGTGTACAATGATTTGTAGGTAATTTGGACTACTCAAGACACCTGACTTATACATCTTCAAAGGAAGACTGTGTTCATTACATTACATGGGATTAAAGCAAAATGTAGTTTTACTTGTATAATACTTCAAGATTTTATATAAAAGCCTGTTTCTAAAATGATCAACCATAGCGACGCGGTCAAATCCTCAGTTTATAATTTATAACATACTAACAAGCTACTCTAATTACGCAACCCAGTCTCACGGCATTTCGTGTTATAGTCACGAAATAAATGTAATCTATTGATTCGTGTTCACCAACACGATTTTCCTCTTTTTTTCGTGTCACAGAAGGATTTTAAAAGCGATGTATTTCTATTGGTAGTATGTTTCGTGCCTTCAACACGTCTTTTTGTCCGGTCGGGTCTTGGAAGACCAGAAGCTGTGTGGTTCATAAAAACATGTTCTTACTCAATATCAAGCCACGATTATTGTTTTTATTTAAATCGTATAATGTCGGACTTTCTTTGCCGTCTGTGAGGAAAATAAATGGGGCTCAGAGCCTCAGAATACTGAAATCTGTATATATCTTTTTCGAAATCAGTCAAAAGTCTCAACGGCTCATTTAAAAAATAAACGTGGATTTGTGTAAAACTAGTTTTTCAGGGTTCGGGTGTTTTGTTTGATTTTAAATAAACAAAGTCTTGGCTTTCAGAATATGAAACTGTTATTGCCAAAATCTCACGATAAATACATTTTTGAAGCTTGTAAAGGGAAAAAGAGGCACCTCTCAATTCGCACCCTGCTCTTCCGCAGCGCCGCTCCCCCTCCCTCCGCTGAAATTATGAAGTAAAGGCGTATAGTAATCATAGATAACACGACAGGGTCCGGGACAGTTTGTTTTCATCTGTTTTCAAATAAACAAAGTATTGGCTTTCAGAATATTAAACTTGTTTCTGCAAATGAAGCTTGTAACGGCATAATTACAAGCGGAGAACGGAGTAATTTAACGTCACAGCAAGCATAACAACAGCCGGTGTTTCTTGTGAGTGTTTCCAATACACAATACACACAAACGCAAAAAATACACAAACACACTCGCGAGCTTCCCCCAGACCAGTAATACAAACGAAGATGTGTCTGCGGGTCAATGTGACTGATTTCGATAGAGCAAGTCACATTTGGTTTAGGCACGAAACATACTACCAGTAGAAATACATTGCTTTTAAAATCGCTCTGTGTCGAATCAATAGATTATATTTCGTGACTATAACACGAAATGCCGTGAGACTGGGTTGAATTACAACAGTGAGTGCTTCATCCTCTGAACACCACAGGATGGCGACTGTATAACATAGGTACTGACATAACATAGGTACGCTCCTCTGAAATGATTGTCCCCTGCAATTATTATTATCCCTCATCGAGTTCGCTATTCAGCTTGCTAACGTTAGCTTAAACAAACGTAACATGCAACGTTAGCCTAATCTAAAATGCTCTACTACGGCGACCTTTCATGTGGCTCGTCAGCGCAGACTCTCGCATCGTTATTTTTTGCAAACTTTGCAGGAGGCTACTTGTGGGCTTGACCCTCGTCTTAGCCATGGCTTGTATTTGTCTTCTGCTAGCCAACGCTCGTTGAAACTGCAGCCTCCTGGCATACTGTCATCTATCACTCTCATCAGAAAGAATGCCCAGGTCACACGTAACAAAAACACTTGCCGGTCACACGCGGAGCTGTTTTATGTAAAAGCGAAGCAATTAAGCTCGCTCCGACTTCTTTATTTTCTTTTAATCTAAAAAGCGAAGTAAAGCATGTACAATTTCAAGCACTTTATCCCAAATTCAAGCACCATTCCCATACCCGTACGAACCCTGCATGTTGCACGCACTATCCTGGCTGAGTGTGCTGACTTTTCGTACAATGTCCCACTGTCTGGCTACCTGCATAAAGTCAAGTGCTCTAAGCAGTTGTCGGCGAAATGTCGCTCCTGTTTTCATTGAAACAGCTCCTTATATCCGTTAGCGCAGCTAGCTAGCACCAGATGCTAACAACAACAACAACAACAACACGTAAGGTGTGCCTCGCTCGCTCCACACATACACACACCCTCCCGGTCCTCCCGATGGCCAGTCCGGGCCTGCCGGGGAGCGTGGAAGTGTGGTCTGCCACAAGCGGGCGGCAGGAGCGGGGCTGTCAGCATCAGCTTGTAGATGGTATTTTAAACTCGATGCACTCTGAAACTACGGGGCGGCCGAGGACAAAAAATACACATGCGTTAATCGCGTTAAAATAATTAGTGGCGTTAATTTTTTTTTGTTGCGTTAACGCGTTATTAACCCGTTAACTTGACAGCCCTAGTTACAATACATAACCCCCCCGTTTTAGAGATAGCAAAATAGTCTTTCTCATTACTCTAGCTAACTCACAAAATCATGGTTTATTTAATTTGTGAAACATTTGTATCTAATGATATACTAATATAATAGTTATAATGCTGTAAATCATCATGACAAACAGCAGATAATCAGATAGAAATGTGAGTGGTGAGAGAGCAGTGAGATGAGCGATGAGTCAGAGAACACCCACGATCCAACATCCTGTTACGTATACTGTGGACCAACAACACATTCCAGACATGCCAAGGAATATCAGTTCAGAATAAATTAATAAACTCAAGCATACACTCATCCACATCTCTTATGTAACATGTAAATGCAACATTTTTTAAGGTGCATCTCAGTTGCAACACACACTGCAGGGCGTTCTTTATAAACTTCTGTTTTATAGTATACTTAGAAACTAATATTTTCTACTGTTGTTGTTTGTTTCTTTTGTTCTCAGACGATGTAACAGTGTTATGCAGCATACACTGCTTTGATTGCCTACTTTTGTTTTATTTATTTATGTTTTATAACTAACACATGTCGTCATTTTATATTTATCAGCAACAACGTTAATCAAATAAAACAATTACAGGCGAGTAAGGACAATTGACCTTATAGGCAATGGTTGAGGATTAAGTCTCAAAGCATTTTGTATTAACAGCCATTGCTGATGATAAAGATCAGAGTAAGGGCTCTGAGCATCTTGAACAAATGTCAACAAATATATTTTATTAACACGTGTTGTCAGCGCTTGTTACACATTTCCATCCGAAGTCTATGCTGATATTTGATTTATTCTTCATTTGGAAACAGCAAATTAAAAACATAACTATGCTCTTTGAGAATCCTTCAAATGATATGTTGTATTCATATTCAACTACCATCCAATTGGGTGAACACTTAATGAATTATAACTAACAAACTTTTAAAATGCTTGTTTTCTGAACTGAGATCAGATCAACCAGGGTAGGCTTAGTTGTAGCCAGTCCGTACACACTGAAAATAAAACCATGTGACATAAATGAAGTAGCAACACTGTTGTCATAGCATAGACAGTCTATGGTTGGTCCACATACATTAAAAAACATCTATGTTTGTCCGGTCTCTAAACAAATGTGAGCAATTAGAAGTCTGGGTGCTGTTTCCCACAGCCAACTTTTGCTCCTAGGAATTCGAGTCATGTGTGACACCCTTCACAACTTCTATCCACGTCTTTGCATTTCTTTATATGTAATCACGGCTTTGCGTCCGGTGTCAACGCACCACAATTTACACGCCTCTAAAAATGAATGGAGTACCGGCTATTGCTGTGGTTATTTAAAAGCAAGTGGCTAGTATTCCTATTTGGAAATGAAATCATCCACTAAGTAAATGTTCCTGGTGTTTTTTTCACTGTGCACATACAGTACATCATAACATAGGTTAATTCTGGCATATGATGACAGGTGATCCTTTATAAAACGTAATATTGTTTGTGTTAAAAATAGATCTGCTGGTAATGTCTGGTGTGTCTGCATGGATTTAAACATTTGGTCAGCAGGATCCTCTCAACCCTCCTGAATGTGACAACATAGGCAGAACTCTGAGGTTTATCATGTATGTTGCCATGCCAACATGGTAGCAAGTATCCAAAGCAGAACAACGGCTGACAATTAGCCCCTCACACACAGCAGCTGGTTTAGCTAGCATTAGCATTATGAGTGGGCAAAGCAAAAGGTACATGAAAGAGATTTGTATACCTCTGCAGCAGCAGGACAGCACACATGCTTTAGTTTTTCACATGCTGAAAGAACACAAAGATTAAAAATAATAAGAAGTAATGCTCTTGTAGTAGAGCTATAGCTACAACTGAGGTAACACTCTCTCAGAGGGCCATACATGCTACTAATGAGGGTCAAAGCATAAAAAGATACTGAACTGACATCAGAAATCTCAAAGCACACATGGGATTTGAGTGGGATGGAAAGGAGAAAGGAGGGGCATGGAAACAGGAATCATCCATCTATGGCTGTGGCTTCCTGCCAGAAGATGAACAGATAGCTCCTAGGTTAAAAGAGGAAGTGGTTGAAACCCACCCAGATCCTTGCCTTCTCCTCATCACACACTGAATACATCCAACAACATGGCTTCCCTCCAAACACACACTCCTCCACTTGGACGTGTTAACAGCCCAAAGATTTACACTCTACAAACATCTGTGCTCCTTTGCTTGAAGAGAGGAACGGAGAGGCATCCCTGTTGGCCTCCCATCCCCCTCATTCCTTCTCCCCCCCCCCCCTCCTCGGTCTGTGTGAGGCTGCAGCATCCCTCACTAAAGGCATAACAACAGTGGGAGAAAATGAGGGATTCCTCCAGCTTTACCTTCAATGTAGGGAGAGATGTGGCTGTGATTCAGCTCAGATGGTGCTGCTCCTCAGCCTCGGCTAACAACATCATGTGACCAGGCACCATCTGCTCCTGCTGCCGGTCACATGACCAGATTAGTCCCCGGCAAGGATCTCTGGGATTTGTAGTTGAGGGGACGGCAATGACATGATTTAATTCTTCATTGAAAAAACTGAAACATTGACTTTAAATCAATGTATTATGTCAACAGATTTCACATAACTGTATTAGGTTGGTATAAAAAATAGAAAAATTATATTTGTGGACGTAATATATTTAATTAAGGTCAACATTTCAGTTTTTTTATTGTAGATAAGACCCTGTGTGATGGTTTAAATGCAAAACTAATTAAAAATGAGAGATGTGAATGAATTAAACCTTAAATATATCTTCGATTTAGATTTCTGTCAAATATTTCCACATATTATAATACAGTTCATTTAAATGTATTCAAAAAGGTGCAGCCATGACACGATCAACAGGTCATTAAAATTAATTTAGGATTAAAGGACTTAAAGCCTGATTTTGATCTGTTTTTGCATGATATTACATTATTTTAATAATTCAGTACATGTTTACATGAGGGCTAGACGAGACATATACTGAATATTACAGTAATGTTTCTATGTTTATAGTTGGCTTTTCAACACTCATTATAGGATGACAATATAATATCATTATATAGCACATCACAATATCAAGATGACATCATGGCTAGGGTTGCATATCGTTTACTTTTTTACGATACCGATACCAATGAACGATACCGATACTCAACCGATACATATCGTGATACTTTCATGTTGCATAAGGGAACAATTGAATCATCCCGCAATTACTCCCATGAAGCGCTTTATGATGTAGTTAACATGTCAAATGAATATTAAATTCAATTGTGGGACTTGGACCTTTTAGTACTGAACAAACAATGAAAAACACGTTATCTATGAAGAAAACTGATTCTGCAATATCATTTATATCAACCATCAGGTGTGAATAGCACATCTTGTCAATGGAAAAAGAAAATGGCACCAGTATAATCAATATTCAACCTGAGATTCGACTGACCAGAGAACACAAAGGATCATGAGATCTCGGCATTGCACATAAAAAAAATAGCATCATTAAAATCAACATTTGCCTGATGAAAGAAAACTAATCCCATCACAGTTCAGTTTTGTGCATTAATCTTCAAGAAGATGAGCATATCTGCTCTCTGGATCCAAACGGGCCCTTTCACAGCGTAGGATATCACCTGCTGAACTGAACACTCTCTCGCTTGGCACGCTGCTTCCCTGAACACAAAGGTACTTGGTTGCCATACGAGACAGCATTGGTTGGAGGTTGGATGTGTTGCCACCTTTCCCAGAAATAAACTTCTTGCAGTGGTTACAGACCCCACCATTCAGACTGGCAGTCATATGCAGCCACACTTTAGATTTTCTAAAGTGACTCGTTTGCGGAGTTTAACGGCGAAATTGACATCGTAATTCCGACGGTTTGGGCGTTTAAGGATATTACGCCTCACTTTTATCGAAAACCGGATCTGATTTCTGTACGGTATACCGTAGCTGCCAGTAACCGGTATTTCGGTAATACCGGGAACCGGTATGCACCCCTAATCATGGCTATTGTGGCACATAAGAAAAGTTAATCAACATCCATCTCAATGTGCTGGTATTAGCCACACGGGTAATGTTCAACAATAGTCTTTCAGCAAATATATTCTAAAGTTGACAACAACAAAAAAATCAATAAAGAATAATAAATAACCTAAGAAATTAAGATAGTACAGCAACAGCAATAACAGCATTATCATCTCTCCATAATACAGATATTTCTCCTTGAAGCCACAGCAAAGATTATTGATGTGACTAAATTATAACCTCCACAATTCAGCATAAGTAGCCATGCAAAGCAATATGAAGCTGTTCATAAGCTCATTTAGTGTCCAAGCAGAGCAGTATAGTAAGAGCGCGGTGTAGCTTTCACATTCAGAAATCAGACATCCCTTTTTCTTCCCGCTGACACAGACAGTGCAGGAGAAAGACAAATACAAATAAGTAAGCTTATAATTTAAAAATAACAGGCAAAACCACTTCTAATTAAATAAATGAGGTACACAACACAACAAAGTTACCTAGCAGCTAGTGATAACAACAATAAACAGTACAAGGTATTTTCTATTCATCTTAATAAAATGTTAAGAGTACATTTGCAGCACAGGGACATGAGTCATAATATAACAATGTTCATACATTGTAACAATTGTATGGGCTTAGATTTGTGTCATAAATATTTGTGTGAACATAAAAATAATTTGTGTGTAAATATGTGATTTGTAAATGTAAAGCACCATCCACAAATGCATTTAAAAGATTTGCAAACTCACAAATAAATTTGCAAATGTAAAACGGATCTGCAAATACGCTAAATATTTTCACAAATAAAAAAAAGATCTGTGAATACTATAATTAATTTACAAATAAACAAAAGGAATTTGTGAATATCTCATTGACAACTTTCGATCAGGCATTTGTGAATCCATTTTGTATTTGTCAACCAAAAATGCGCTTGTGGATCTCAAATCTCTGCTTGTGGATCTCAAATCTCTGCTTGTGGGTCGTCTTTTTAAACACACACAAACTTTCCGCCGGTCTCGACCGAAATCTGCTCGTGTCACTCGGTTGTTACTCGGAAACCACGTGATGGCCTGCTGATGACGACATTTCCGCATTTCAAGGTTTCAAATTAAGAGCATGATGGTTTCCCTCTGGAGTCGACGCTCGCAGCGCCATATCGAAGTGCGCATATTCTGCGTATTTAATCAGATCTCGATTATAAGGAGTACAAATATCATGCAGATAACCACCGAATCGCTGGAACTGTAGCTTTCCAGCGGTACTTATTGTGAGACTTTACCCGACGACTCACAGCAGCCAATAAGGCCGCTCAAAGCAGCTTGACTTTGCGTTACACTGTATGGGATTTGGTTGTGTCGTATGCCGGTCAAGTAAATCTCGGCCGGGGCAGCTGCAGCTATGTTGGTCTGAAATGACAAATGGAAACTCAAGAAATCACTAAGGACCTACCGACCAAGAAATGTGTGTATGTACAGCTCTCAACATGCCCAGACTTGTAGTGATTTTCACCTCTTTTAATACTTTCCGCCTCATTCTGAAAGAAAGAGGTGAAATGTGCCAACGTGACGGCCGTCTTGGTGTGTGGTGCGAGACGGGAGATGTAGTTCATTGAGCGGTTTCACACAAAAATAAGTGTTACTTCACAGTTTTACGACACATTTTTATTTTTTTTACTTGCAAAATTATCTTTTAAATTGGCAAACATCATATGTGTAATTCGTGGCTCAATTCAAACGGGATCGAAAGATAATCTTTCTCTCCCCATTGACTTCAATACATACTTTTTCCGAAATAAGGTCCCATGGAGCTCCCCCGGAAAGGGAGGGACTTCGCCTCTCTATAAGAGGATTTAGACGTTGTGTGTTTATTGTATAACTCCACACGCCTTTTCTCCTCGTATTCTCATTCATGACTTTTTATTTAATGCATTTTAACGGCTGTAATCATTGATAGCGTGACGTCATGTAAATGATGGGGTTGGGTCCTTCAATAGAGCTTTTCAAAATAAAACTGTACATTCATTTAACATTCAGCAATAACGTTAGCCACAAGCTAATGCTAACCGGAAATGAAGTATTTTCAGAATAAAACCGTTTTAAGTTTACAGTATATTTAATCTAAATTACGTTATATAAACATTGATTTTAATTTCTTACAGTGTGTGCGAGAGAGAGAGACTCCTGCCCCACCTCCCAAATTATAGGTGGGGAAATTATAACACAATAGTAATAATAATTAAAACTGCGGTCACAGAAGTGTGTCCGTGCGCCTGTCGCAGAGTTCCTGTTAGAATATTTTTTTGTCGGTCAACATGTCCGTTAAAGTTGAAATCTTCCGGACAAAATGAGAAAAGTGCTGGTCAAAGGTCTTCTTTGTTATTTATTGAGCTTTAAAACAAATTGATATGATTCGACATTAACCTCTTAAGCCCTGAGCCTGTTTTTCAGGTCTCAGGCTCGAAAATGACATTCCCAGAACAAATGACCATACCTTCCCTTCTAAAAGGGTTAAATTAATAATCTTTATTCTCAAAGTAATGATAAACCTGTGAGTTGGATGTAGAAAAGTCAGAATCAATATAGATGTTTTTTATTTTAAAGAAAATTCAGATTTTACATAGTAAAAAACTGTAAATTATAGTGTCCGTCCAAAAATTCTTTTTTACTTATAGTGAAAACTACCCTTGGATGATGGGTTAGTAGACTAAAAGCTTTAGGAATCCAAAGTACAACATATAATAAGTACCCTGTATCAAGATTGATGCAAAACAAGTGAAATATGACCTTTTTAGAGAGATTTAGCCAAAAAAACCCACTTCTGGGGTCATTTGGGTGGATGTGACCTATCTCTGGCCCCCCTTGCTCGATTTTGATGAATGAAATCTCTTTATAACCGCGAGAGCCAATGGAATCGAGGGAAAGTTATATACACACCAAAACGTTAACAAATAAGGAGTGAGAGTGACGCGTTACCGGAAGCTGCATACACTCTGGTGGCTACCATTAGCAGCTAACTTTTCCGCTCCGATTTTTACATAAAAAATTGAATTATGGATTATAAATAATTTTTTCAAAGACACAGGTACATTATCAACCTATGGATCAACAGTTGTAGCATTTTTCTTCGTTTTAATACCATTGAACACGTCTTTTGACCTAATTGACAGCTACGGTGAGACGATCTGCCGTAAATGCTCCGTAAAGGTACGTGTTGTGATGTCTGTGTTTGCTTCCCCTGTCGCAAGTTCGGATCGCTCAGTGATGATACTATACCTAAATAATCAGTGGAGTCTCAGCTTTAATCGGCTATATTGTATGTGCAGCTAGGATAAGTAATAAGGGTATCTTTATCTTGAATTGTGTGCCGCAGTGCGTTAGAATATTTTCGCTCAGGGGTCATTTAGATGCTTCTTATGAGACTTGTGTT